TCATTATTATCATTATCTAACAAATAATCAGCGCTTTAATCATTTTATGAATGTTGTATTAGAAATGTGTCTGCCACTTTTAGTACGCAATCTTATGAATAAATAAATAAACTTTCTGCTAATAGCACATTAAATGATGAAGCATACTGACCAGTGGTCTTTATTTCATAAATTGGAATTGTAATGGATGATTCATTGTTTTAAATAAATAAATAAAATTAATTGCAAACTAACAATAAATGATGCAATTGTGGTTTTGTGTAACGAATTTTCGCTAGCATTTATTATATATTCATTTTAATCGATAAATTATTATAAATGATTTAAATGTTCAATTCAGATTATTTTGACTTGAATTATAAAATAGCTTGAATAATTAATTGCACAGGTGTATTTCGTTAGCTTTTCTTCCAATTCTTCGATTCGACATTTGAGCATTTCAATAACTTTCCCATTTACTTATTGCTGCTATCAAAAACCTCTACTTAATTAATTCAATGTATAATATAAATCTTCTTAGAGTATCGCTCTCTTTATATTACCTTTGCGAATCACATAGCTTATCTTGCATTTAATCACTAAGCAATATTTAAATAAATGAATAAATTTTCGAATTTATATTTTCATCGCATAAGAATTGATGAATTTTGATATGTTAATTATTAATAATAATAATAATATTATTAATAAATAATAAATAATAATAGCAATAATAAATAATAAATGATAAATAATAATAAATGATGATAGTAATGATAAATAATAATAATTAATAATAATAAAAAATAATGATAAATAATGATAATAACAGTAATAATAATAATAATAATAATAAATAATAATGAATAATAATAATAATGAATAATAATAAATCATAATAATAGCAATAATAATAAATAATAAATGATAATTAATAATAATAAATGATAATAATAATAATAATCATCTCTTAGCAGTTTATAATTTGTTTACAGCCTTACGATATTCTCTGTCAATTAGATTTTTTTTTCTTATTTTTATTACAAATTCAATTAAATATTCTTCTGAATGCTGGAAATTGAGAAAAAAATTTAATTATTTTCTGTTCTTCTCTCTCTCTCTCTCTCTCTCTTTCTTTCTCTAAATTTCTGTTTTTTCTCTCTCTTTCTCTAAGCATACCTCAAATATTTATAAAATATTGCTTAATTGAGCAATACATGAAATAATTAAGATAATTAGGCATGGTTGACTGAAGAATTTTCTCTTCAGCAAGTGATAAACCATCTAAAGAACCTTACTTGAATAACTTTACTTGAACTTTATGTTATTATATCATATATTCGATTTTCCATTTCAGTATCGCATAAACTTTTAACCTCTCTCTCTCTCTCTCCTTATCTATCTCTCTATTATTGTCTAAAATCAGGTTAGCTAGATCGATTACAGATATTCTCTATGTGAAATTATTTGTTAAAAATTTATTAAACTTCTAAAATGGGAAATAATTTTTGTTGACGGTCTGTTTTCAAGCTAAATTAAAACACATATTTAAAATGTGTAGTACATTTGACCTTCTGTTCATTAGTCAATAATTGTAATTAAATGTCATCATTACTGATTAATCGCCTCCTGTTGCCTTTTACTAATAAACAAATTTATATCTTAACAAGCTTGATCATCTATACTTATACTCTTGTTTACAATGGAACTATCTTTAAATATCATATTTCTAACTTAATAGAGCGACGAAAAAAGTTTATTATTTTCATTGTCTATTTTAAATCACTTCAATATAGGCTATTCCTATTCCTATTAATTCAACCCACCGATCGGTTTTGAATGGTTGTAAACATTTTAGGTTAATATGCTTTTATTTCCATGGAATATTGAAATGCTTGTCAAAAATTTAAACTCCAACTAATTATTGGAAGTATTATTAATTGCTAATTTGCTACAGAAAAATAGGAAAGATAAACATTTCTACAAGTAGATCAATTAGACATTAATTTCGCTTATTTCATAGAAAGGTACTTTCTCTCCTTTTCATTTCGTACTCTTTTCAAAATTCTCTTAAATGTTATTTACCTTCATTTCCTAATGTTTTCAAGTATTTTACTATCTAAAATCAGGTTAGGTGATATTTTCTCACTTTTTCAACAATTAATTCAAATAGTTGAAATAATTTCACATATAGAGAACATCTGTAATCGTCGATCTAGCTAACCTGATTTTAGATAGTAAATGAAAAATAGATAAGGAGAGAGAGAGAGAGGGGGGAAGAGAAAGAGTTAATTAATACGACAAGCTCTCTTAACTTCGATAATTAATATAATTGAATAAAATTTATAATATTTGTATGTATATTTCTTATCTGATTGAATATAAGCTTTATTTTCATATTTTCAACAAATTGACGACGCATGAGAGATTGACTGAAAGGACATTTTATGTTTTATACTTAGGCATATTTTCCTCTTCCATCAATGATTTCACGACAAACAAAAAATTTTTTTTACTTCATAAAAGCTATGTAAACAATAATTTTTAGCTATTTTTAAAATCCATCCTTTAGTCTTCTGAAGTACATTTCCAGAATTATCCATCGTCGTAATTCGATCCATTCAATTCTTTTCCTTCTTTTTTTGACATTCCTTTTTCATTTTCGAGCTGTCAAATTCGGTATAATTCATTTTGGATTCGATCTGTTTTAATTTGACTATTTTCGGAGCTGTTCAATTATTTACCAAATTAAATTGCAACAATACAAATTAGTTACTTACCAACCACATCAATTTTAATATATTCATACCTGAAAGTATAATGGTATTTATTACTAAAAATTTTCATATGTATTAAGATGGAGGTATGGTGTTTTATTACTGCGATTACCTTTTTCGACGATCGATCTCTTTGTTTACCGCAATATGTTTGATTCAATTTAAAAGATGTGAATTAATATTGAAGCAGAAATTTATGAAATTTCGTTTTGCGATTATCAATTAATATCACGACAATTAACTACTTTTAATAAAATTATATAATTTTGTTTAATTTGCACAGAAATGAAATTAGTAAATGGTGTCGGATATTTGTATAAAACTTCAATTTTAATTTGTCATATATTTTTCTTCCATTTTTTATTCTCATTTTTTTCGGTAACTTTTTAAAATCGTATTGAATTCGTTAATTTTTAAAATCGTACTGAATCGTGCTGAATTTTTAATTCGGTTACTTTTCAAAATCGTATTGAATTTTTAAAATCGAAAAATTATACTCAATTTTTAAATAAGTAAAGTTTTAATTAAACTTAAAGATTTCAGATTCATTCCCCCAAAATCAAGAGGATGTGCAAAATAAAGCTGTTAATATACACTCTGATAGTAATGTTGCTAATAAGAGCGCCAATAGATGAAGTTAAAGCTGAATCGACGATGTTTACTGATTCTGTTAAATTGGAATCTGAAAATGATATTGGTAAGTGATGCAGTTTCGAAAGCAACTTTTAGTGATAATTTTAATTTATAAAAATGGATTATTTTATAAAATTATTATTTGTTATTGTTAATTATTATCATTATTATTATTAATATTAATATTATTATTATCATCATTATCATTGTAATTATCATTATTATTTTATTATTATTATTATTATTAATATTATCTGACAAACTGCATTCTTCCGTTTAACTCTTATAAAATTTTAACGAATTAAATTCTGCTAACTCTCATAAATTACAAATTATATTTAAAAGATTGATATCTGTAAAAGATAAAATAACTGAAAAACATCTTTCATAAACTATTCGACGAAATGAAATGATATAATTTTGAATAGCTTTATTGTAAACAAAATTATACAGCTAAAAATTATTTATTAATATGAAATTTTTGGATCAAATAATTGTAAAATAGTAATAATTTTGAAGAGAATCAGAGTTAAAATGATTCAGGTGAGTATCACCATAGTTGAATCATTTTAGAATTCTCTATCAAAATGCTAACGAATATGAGAAGTAAACTTTTCGAACTACCATAGTATATTTACTCTTCACTTGTTTATTGTTTGTTTTGTTGAGCTCATTTCTAAATTTTATTACTTTCCTACGATGAGTCATTTATTTACCTTTACTCTTTCATTTATCAACAAAAAATATGGCAATCAAATCGGGCATTACAGAAATTTTTGCTCAGTATTTTTGATGATATTTTCATGCACTAATTAAGTTTTTTCATTTTTGCCATTAATTTTTTCAACTTTTTCTTTCATACGACCGTCTATAACTAACACTTTTTAATCCTTTCCTAAATTTATTCCAAAAAATTTGAATGGATCTAACATGTTCCAGAAAATCCAAAAATCCATTCTTCATGATTTAGCATAATTAATTTATTAACCTCAAATAAGTGTTACAAAATAAATTTAAACGAATCTAACATGTTCCAGAAATTACAAATGACCCCTTCTTCATAATTAAGAATAATTAATTCATTAACCTCATATAAATATTATCAAAATAAATTTAAATGAATCTAACATGTTCCAGAAATTACAAAAGATCCCTTCTTCATAATTTAGAATAATTAATTCATTCACCTCAAATAAGTATTAGCAAAATAAATTTAAGCGAATCTAGCATTTCTCGCATCAAAAAAATCGAAAAATCCTTTCTCGATAATTTGGGATAATTAATTCATTAACCTTAAATAAGTATTAGCAAAATCCAAAGATCCCTTCTTCATAATTTAGGATAATTAATTCATTAACCTCAAATAATTATTACAAAATAAATTTCAATATCCTAAAAAGTTTTTCGGATTTTTTTTCTTTTTAACCTCCTAAAATTAAAAATAATTTCTATCGAATTTCTTTGATAAAACATTATTTCATTTTTATTTATATACAGATTTCAATTCATCATTTATAATTGGTAATTGTAAATTAATTTTCAGATCCATTGGATTGTTCAATTGGTAAATTACCCGCTATAATCGGACATAATGATTTTTCGATTTTGGGAATGCTTCAAAATTGTGCAATATTTTACATTCATGGTGATAATATCAAATCTGATACCAATATTGATCTATTGGATATTGAAGGCTCATTGGGTCGATGTCAATTAACACAACCATTATTTTATAAGCAAAATAATGGTATCTTTTTAATTAGCTTTGAATTTCGAATCATTTTACGCTTAAAAATTTACAATATCCCATTACATCTTCATCGCTTCGTTTTCTTTATATTTTTTCACGCTTCAATTTTCACGTTTTCACGTTTACTAGTGAGTCAATTTGAAATGACTTTACAAATTTATGAGTGAATTATATAAATTGTATATTTTTCGTTTTGAGATAAAATACTTTCGGTTAAATGGAGAAAAACCATGAATGTCTTATATAAAAGAAATTATATTTCATAAAATTGTATTAAATTAATTTAATAATTAAATGGTAGGATTATTTCGGCTAATAAATATTAGCCTATCAATTTGCATAATTAATTTCATATATATTAAAGCAGAGAATTGATTGAATATTTCAGAATATAAATTACTGATAGCTCAAAAGATGAGCGCATATACTGGCCAATGCTCGTGGCAAAACAATTCGAAAATCTACCTCAATTGCTTATTTGATCGGAAGGAATGGGAAAAGCATTCGATTAAACCATCCGAAAGTGATGATACGGAAATAATTGGGCACGTTACCGACGTTGAAACTGACATCCTCCACGTCTTTTACACTGATGGTCAATTACAAACTTTCACATATAATTGATCAGATAATCTTCGTTAATGTTTTTCATAAATTTACTTGATCATTAAATTATTACTACGATAAGCTAAATACCAAACAAATCATATGAATTATGATTATGGTTCTTATTGCATAGATCATCCCAAATATTTGTTGAAACCAGTTAAGAGGATTAAATATTGCCTTAGTTATAATGCAAGTTGACCTTGATGTCTACGAGTTAAAAGAGATTGATATAATTGTTTAGCTACTTATCAGTTTTTTGAATGTTTTAACCAAACTTTTGCTCAAATGATATCGGAGAATGGTTTTTAATAAGTAGGGGCTGATCTTAATTAATGAAGAGAATAGATTCGTTAAATATATAATTAGTTTGCAAGAGTTTTTTTCTGGATCAGTTGTTTTGATAATTCAATCAAATGGCTGATAAGCGATCAGTAAGTGAGAAAATAAATTATTATTGCTACTTCTAAATCACTGTATTTCTTCTTGTTATAAATATTCAAAAATTTTTTGGGGCAAAAATTGATACTGTAATAATGGGAAATTGAATAAACGAATGAACTTCAATATAAATAATTTTTAGAAAATGGAATTATCCATGATTCATCATATAATGTATCATCCGAGAAATTCATCAAACAAGCAGCACTGCAGCAGACGAATTTAAAGAAAATATCCTACGATTCAGATCGTCAAGTTAGTTTATCAATTTTTCAGCTTTGTGAAAATTTTTCGTCATCATTTAAAGAGATTAAAAGGATTGAGAATGGTGTTATATCCTCGATTTGATTATCAAATTTTTTAAAAATCATTTATTGAAATTTTATCAAATTTCGAGATCAATTGTTTTTGAGCAATTTTAACAGAGAATATAAATTTCTTAATAAAATTTAAAAGTTTTTCAGTTAATGTATATGTTCACAAATGAAATGGTTTATCAGAAAGTAAAAAGTAATTCTGGTATTTTTGTCTATGAACCAACTTATGCTAAAGTTAATAACTTTAGTCGTGGCAGCTATTCAGCTTTCTCCTTCAGCAACAATTATTATATTATTCAAAAGGTAAATTGTTTCAATTATTTAATGGTGAAGATTTATGATAGTGTATAATTTTGAAACTTCATCGAATTAAACTGCAAATCAAAGATCATAATTCTGAAACTCGCTGATATTCAAAAGTTCGGGACAAACTCATACTGACGTTCGGGTCAAACTCATACTGACGTTCGGGTCAAACTCACGCTGACATTCGGGTCAAACTCATTCAAATCTTTTCCTCATTTATTATCATCTTATTAAGAAGCAAAATATTTCCATTTAAAATAATGATATAATCGAATATTTTCAGACTTTAGGTGATGGTCGTATAGCATATTATGCCGGAAAAGAAGGTACTCCTGAACAGGTATGCATTGCAGAGGTATTACCAGACGAAACACTCTATATGTCTTTATTGGTAGGTGTTGATAGTAGATCAGTTTATGAACGAATTCGAAGTCAACTTGCTCCTAAACCAAAACCAATAGAACCGAATGTGGAAACGACCGAGATGCCTCAGACAGCTTCTAGGCTTTCATTTCAAACTACTTCATTCATTCTCATTATGGTACTCTTATGTAGTATTTTCAGGTAAAATGTTCTAAGAAATTCACCAACACTTAATTAGTTTTGTTCACATATTTCTAAAATCAAAACTTAAGCAAAATTAACTTTTTTTTTCAACTATGAAAGTTTTCTTTACAAGAATTTTGCTTTTCAAATCTTACCCATTTCTGCAACAAACCTTAGTTACAGTAAGAGCATAATATTAATGATTCTTTGATCATAGTTTCTCAATTCAAACGACACATAAATTCTAATGGATTGAAAAATTTATTCTATTTCGAAAATGCGGAACTATCAGTATTCTTGAAATAGCTACTAGCCTTATAAATACTGTCTACTTTTCCCTAAAATATTTTTTGGGTGAATTTTGTTTAAAATTTTACTCGAACATATTATGTATTGTTTTTTTCGCTTGATTGAAAGGATTTGTTCAAAAGTTTTAATAACTCTTTGAACAGGTCTGCAACTTAATCCTAAAATTGAAATGTCTTTAATTGTTTCTGAAATTTAAAAATTTAAAACCGAAAATTCATTTGTATGTATAAGTTGTAGGATACGATTTTTGAAACTTAATCAAGTTTCAAACAAGCATAAGTTTATCAAACTTTATCATTAGAAATGAGTTCTGCCTAAACTTCAAATATTTATTGGAGAAAGAAAATTCTCAAAAGTTGAAATGATTTATTTTGAATTTTGAAAAGTATTCAGTCAATAAGTTACATTCATTATCATTTTCTTCGATGATCGATAATTTATATGAATTTTATTCACTTTGTTTTTGCATAAAATTATTTCAATTCATCTTTTCGATTCTTAATAAAGCCTATCGTTCATTGATTTCTTTTCGGAATTTTTTCAATCCTAAAATTTTACTGTGTAATTTCTCATATCATTCTTTAGCTATTAAATTTAGTTTGATGAATATTTCAAATTTTTAATTGTGAAATGTTTCGTAATGTTTATTTATTTATTTATATAATTCTTCCATTCTTTACATTTGCAAGCTGAATTTCAGGTTTAAAGAAATTTAGCAAGTAAGTTGAAAAGATTTTAAAACTCGACGAACAGAGGTAAAATAATAGTAGCAAAACTGTCCAATGAAATCGAATTTAAAAAAACTGAAACGGATTTTTTAATAAAAAATTTTTTGCACATTTTTAGGAAACTTTTTAAACCTTAAATTAAAATGTATCTTTATGATATTATCCTTTATTTGTTAAATTTAGGTTGGCAAAAGTTTTCTAAGTCGTTAACTTGAATATATGCGTCTGATATTATCTCTTATCTTCTGAAGACTAAAATTTTTTAATTAAAGTTACAATAATTTTGTTACGCGTATTTTTACGAATCTTCCCGGAAAAGTTTATTGCGAAATTTGCGAAAAGGTTCTAGAAATTTCAATTATATCACTTTTTTTTTGTTTTGCATAATAAATGAAATCTTTTAATTGACGACGAACTATATATGCCTTTACTATCGAAATATACATATGCTTTTTGTGATATAGTTTTCTGTGAGACATATTGCGACATTTTATTGAAATACACGTTTTAACAGAACGCGACATTGGTTTTCTTCTTACAGCATGAAATTGCGACGATTGCGACGTTTACGCTAAATTTTCAATCCTTTTATTAAGAAATTTTTTATAAGATTACTTTAAATTGATAGTTTTTAAGGAATTTATTGATTTTTTTAATCATACAAAATTAAATTCTAATAAAATATGAATCTATTAGGACCGATATATCTAACGGTTCATTACAAGCATTAAAAAATAGTGAGAGATATGATGATACTGTATAATTCTGATACTTAGTACCATAAATATTTTGTTCAAATAAATAAAAAGGCTTATTGCAATGCAATTTAATTAGGAACGTTATATCGAAAGGTCACAAAATATCCTAACATTTTTCAATTTTATTTGTTAACTTAAAATTATGAAAATAATTGAAAAAGGTTAATGTATTCAATGAAAAAGAGATTTTGAGTATATATTCATTATAAATGTAAAATTGTGATTAAATTAAATTTAAATTATTCCAACAATTTTTACTACAATCAGAAAAACAGAAATGATAAATGAATGCGATCAGGAAGTAAACATTCAAGAAGGAATTGATGAAACCTTCAGCTCAAAAAAGAAGAAAACTGATATTTGATAATTGCTTATCATATCTTTTCAGAAACAATAATAATTTCTTATCATATCCTTTTAAATAACAATTGCTTGTTATATCTTTTTAGATGATAATAACTTTAAAAGCATTTAAAAAAAGAGCATTTAAAGAAAGAGAAAGGTCAAATGTAAAGTAAAAAAGAAATGAATAAAATTCATAACTCCCAAAGGCAAAATTAGATTTCACAGAAATGAATGAATGAAAAAACTTGGAATCATTGAACGTATCACGAGGGAACTTTCCTTTATGGGAAAGATCAAAAGAGGGTGGTACTATTGCGGTCTATTTTTGAAGATTTCAGTAATGATTTGTTGGTCAAATCTCAATCGTTATTATTATTAGACCTTAATGAAAGTAATGCTTAGCGATAGTTCATTTCCTAACAGAAATTTGATAATAGAAACAATGCGATTTTAACGATTACGATTTCTCCATTTTTTGCAACATTGTAAGAAGCTGTAAATCGTATGAGATGTTAAATAATACAGCTGAATATATTAGGAATACGAAGCAAGAAAAAATAGATCCCGCGGATAGTTAGAGGAATTTTAATAGGAAAATCGATCAAATGGAGTGAATTAAGGTTGTTGATAAATTAATGAATTGTGTGATAATAATGTTAATCAAAAAAAGGAAACAAATTGAATGAATTTATTGAATTTCGACAATATAAATAAATCTGCCTTAATACTTTCCTATCTTAATCCGATTTAGCAATTATTCTATCATAATAAATCATTCCTTTAATACACTAATTAAAAGCTTAGGTTCCATAGATGATACTTTCAAAAGCTTAGTTTCCATAGATGATACTTGCTCTGATAGTTGATAGTTGCTCACAAATTTCATTCATTTCATTATAAAAGGATTTACTCAAATAATTTTCAGAAATGATGAAAACATTTCCATCTGAGGAATTTATCATGTAAGTAAAATTTAGAAATCAAAACTGTTCAGTGTTAGCGATAGGCAATGGTTGCCATCAAAAATGTATAAAACAGAACAAGGGATACTTTAAATTTGAATATTTAAAATATTAATAACGACAGATTGATACCATGCTATAAATAAATCAATAGATTTAAAATATTAAAAGACGTTAATAATTAATTAATAATTAATAATTGAGTAATATTAAATGATTAATGATGGATATTTTCGCTTAATTAACGTTTAACAATTCAAATTTCGTAACTTCAATCGATAACTGTTGAATGCTTCAACTTTATTAAGCAATCGCTGATATATATATTTTTGCCATTTATAAAATAAGATATAAATAAATAATACTACACTATTTAGTTTGATTTAAAATGAACTATCAGAAATTTTTAATTAGCCATAAATGGATAATTTTGCTTAATTATTTGACTATAATTAGTCATATTTTAAAACTTTAAAGGGTAGCAATGAGATATTTGTTCAAATTGAAATTGAAATTCATATTTTAGCAATTCTGAAAGATAATAAATTGAACATTATTACTCACTGTTAAAATCGCTGATAACTCGATATTCAGAAGCGGAAAAACGCATTTGTCAACGTTTGAAGTAGGATAGAGTTACATATGTGACAAATTAGAAATGCATCAAAATATCATTGAATATGATTCATTTATATTCGAGTAATTAATTCATTTATTTATATTAGTAATTCATTTTCAAAATGTTCCTGATACGTTGTTATTAATGCACAAATGTGTCGTACAAATGATAAAGTATCTGCTTGCAAAAAATTAGCTAGAAGACTTCGATCCGATGAATGATAATTTGTATTTACGATACTTGGAGTTACTAAAATTTAGACAGCGGAAGAAATGCGCAAAGCATATACTCTCAATAAAACAAGCAATACAATCAATCCCTTTCAACAGTTTGAGCAATTAATCCCTTAGTTTTTTTCATGTAAAACATGATGCCGAAATCAGTAATTAATTCGAAATTCACCTGTTCCAGGTTTTTTGAAGGTTTTTTTGAAAAAAACCTTCGTCTTAAATTTTTAGTAATTTTGCAAAATTAAATGAAAAATCTTTTCCTTAGTTTTACTGATACATATCATCGTATCCGTGAAGTTTCTTAGTTATTAAAATTAGTATGATTTTCATCAAATTTTAAATTATGTTGATTAATATAAGCATATCAGGAAAACTTTCAGATTTCGATAAAACTTTAATATCTCACTTTGATTAGTTAAAAGTGCTAAGAGTGTGCAATCAGTTACAATGTTGCAACAGGCATTTGTCTGTTTTAATATATAAAAAATGTGCGGTATGCATTGAACTTGATGCCTGTCGCAAAAACCATATAGTCAGTATTTGATGATTCAACATTTTTATTTATTATTTATTTATTTATTTTTTAAAGATGCTTTTGTTGATAAATATCATAATAGCCATTATTGTATCGTTCTGTTACTATCATTCAAATTCTTTATATACTCTTTGAGATTCATCATATAAGCTAAAAATATTTTATTCTTCAAATTTATAAGAATTTTTATAAATTTTGCAAAACTTTCCTAATATTTTAAACTTGCATATTAATTTTAATATAGATAGATGCTAATATATTATTTTCTAATCCATTGTTTTATACTTTTTATAATTATTCTCTTAAGTGGGAAATTTCAACGTTTCAGTTTCAGTTACATTTCATGGTTGTAATTAGTAAAATTGTAATTAATGATGTAAATATTAGCAGAAAGTAATGGAATAAAAGTTAATTTATAGTTTGTCAATCATTGAATAAATTAAAACGAATCATTTAAAAGATTTCTACTCTTGTTGATAACAATAATTGATTTCAAGGATAATTACTGATAATTACTACTAATTACTACCAATTGG